CCAGGGGGTGCCCAAAATAGTCCAGGGGGTGCCCAAAATAGCCCAGAGGGTGCCCAAAATAGTCCAGGGGGTGCCCAAAATAGTCCAGGGGGTGCCCAAAATAGCCCAGAGGGTGCCCAAAATAGTCCAGGGGGTGCCCAAAATAGTCCAGGGGGTGCCCAAAATAGCCCAGGGGGTGCCCAAAATAGTCCAGGGGGTACCCAAAATAGTGTAGAAGGTGCCCAGAATAGCCCAGGGGGTGCCCCAAATAGTGCAGAGGGTGCCCAAAATAGTGCAGGGAGTACCCAAAATAGTCCAGGGGGTGCCCAAAATAGTCCAGGAGGTGCCCAGAATAGCCCAGGGGGTGCCCAGAATAGCCCAGGGGGTGCCCAGAATAGCCCAGGGGTGCCCAAAATAGCCCAGGGGGTGCCCAAAATAGCCCAGGGGGTGCCCAGAATAGCCCGGGGGGTGCCCAGAATAGCCCAGGGGGTGCCCCAAATAGCCCAGAGGGTGCCCAAAATAGCCCAGAGGGTGCCCAAAATAGCCCAGGGGGTGCCCAAAATAGCCCAGGGGGTGCCTCGAGCCCCCTCAGGAAGTCAGGAGAGCTGGGCTGGTATTTTTTGCTCCTGGTCTGGGATTCTGATTATTAGCGGTTGGACGGGACCTTAGAGGTCATTCCCAACCCGAGCAATTCCAGGATTCCACGTGGGGAGAGGCTGAGGGGCAGAGTGGAAACTTAATAGCCCTGGAGTGTTCTGGGGCTGGAATCAGTTCCGGAAGCCTCCTGATGGTTGTTTTTTTTCAGGACTTTGGGGTTTGTTTTTTCCTGGGGTTTGGTTCCACCCCTTGGGGAGCTCTGGGAAGTTGAAGGGCCTGAGGGAAAACCTCATCCAGACCTCCCTCTGCTTTTCCGGCGGGTGATGAGACCCCGTCCCGTCCCATCCCATCCATCCCATCCCACCCCATCCCACCCCATCCCAAACCACCTTCCCACCCAAGGACCTGCACCAGGACCTGTGTCCTGCCCAGTTCTGACTGTCAGGAGGGACAGGGCTGTGCCTGTCCCCACACCAGGACCTGTGTCCCCCCAGTTCTGACAGTCAGGAGGGACAGGGCTGTGCCTCCTGTCACTGGGACCAGCACCAGGACCTGTGTCCTGCCCAGTTCTGACTGACAGGAGGGACAGGGCTGTGCCTGTCCCCACACCAGGACCTGTGTCCTGCCCGGTTCTGACTGTCAGGAGGGACAGGGCTGTGCCTGTCCCCACACCAGGACCTGTGTCCTGCCCGGTTCTGACTGTCAGGAGGGACAGGGCTGTGCCTGTCCCCACACCAGGACC